TACAATAGCAAAGACTTGGAACCAACCCAAATGCCCATCAGTGATAGACAGGATAAAGAAAATGTGGCACATATACACTATGGAATACTATGCAGCCACAAAAAAGAATGAGTTCATGTACTTTGCAGGGACGTGGATGAAGCTGGAAGCCATCATTCTCAGCAAACTAACACAGGAACAGAAAACCAACACCACATGTTCTCACTCATAAGTGGGAGTTGAACAATGAGAATACATGGACACAGGGAAAGGAACATCACATACCAGGGCCTGTCGGGGGGTTGGGGGCAAGGGGAGGGAGAGCATTAGGACAAATACCTAATGTGTGTGGGGCTTAAAACCTAGATGACAGGTTGATAGGTGCAGCAAACCACCATGGCACATGTATATCTATGTAACAAACCTGCATATTCTGCACATGTATCCCAGAACTTAAAATTTAGAAAAAATTAAAAATAAAGCATCAGGGATCTCCAAGTTGTGCTCCTAGCATATGGTGACACATGTATCACCAGCTCTGGGATGGAGTCCAAGCCATCTCTAAAATATTTCGGAAGTTTAAATATTTAAACATTTATAAATAATCATCATTTATAAATACGTTAAAATATAAATGATGTTTAAGTACCAATGCAGAATTAAAGTATAAATATAAAATAAAAAGCATGTGAAAATATAAATAGTACCTAAGTTCCATCAAAGGATGAAAATATAAATGATAATGGCCAGGCGTGGTGGCTCACGCCTGTCATTCCAGCACTTTGGGAGGCCAAGGCAGGTGGATCATAAGGTCAGGAGTCGGAGACCAGCCTAACCAACATGGTGAAACCCTGTTTCTACTAAAAATACAAAAGTTAGCCGGGCATGGTGGTACACGCATATAATCCCAGCTACTCAGGAGACTGAGGCAGGAAAATCACTTGAACCTGGGAGGCAGAGGTTGCAGTCAGCCGAGATCGCACCACTGTACTCTAGCCTGGGTGACAGAGCGAGACTCCATCTCAAAAAAATAAAAATAAAAATAAAATAAAATATAAATGATGTATAAGCACCACTGAAGTATTAAAATAGTACCATTGAAGCATTAAAATATAAGTGATACCTAAGTGTCATTGAAGTATTAAAATAGAAATGATACTTAAGTACCATTGAAGTGTTAGGATACTTGTTTATATTTTAACATATACTTTTTCCTGAGAGTCTTTGTATAAAACTTATGCTCCAGGAAGACTTGCTATGTTTATTCTATGGCTTCAAATATCTGAAGCCACACAGCTGTGAAATTGGAGTACCCTCCTTTTCCCCAGTAAAAAGTCCTGAATGAAATGGAACTCCACAGCAAAATGATAGTGGAGAAAAGCAATGCAGGCTAAGCAGCCTAATACTAAACACAAAAGCAAGGTCAGCAAATAAGTGTCTAGCTACACTATATTTCAGAATAAATTTAAAAGCAGGTGTCTCACGAAACAGAGCTGAGAAAATGGGGGCATGTGTGACAGTCACAGGAGCTCATCCACCCTTAAAGAGGCCTGGCCTCATGCTCTGTAGGGCTGGGCCAAGTCCTTGATACCCTGGAGAGAGCTTACTTCTCCCTCTCCTTGGAGTGTGAGAAACACACTCACCCATCCAAACCCAAAGAATGGACTTAGAGGCATGAAGAACAGTGAAAGTGAGACTTTTTTTTTTTTTTTTTTTTTTTTTTTTTTTGAGACGGAGTTTTGTTCTTGTTGCCCAGGCTGGAATGCAATGGCACGATCTCAGCTTACCGCAACCTCTGCCTCCCGGGTTCAAGCAATTGTCCTGCCTCAGCCTCCCAAGTAGCTGGGACTACAGGCATGCGCTATCACGCCTGGCTAATTTTGTATTTTTAGTAGAGATGGGGTTTCTCCACGTTGGTCAGGCTTGTCTTGAACTTCCGACCTCAGGTGATCTACCCGCCTCAGCCTCCCAAAGTGCTGGGATTACAGGCGTGAGCCACCGCACCTGGCCGAGACTTTTTTTTTTTTTTTTTTTGAGACTTAGTCTTGATCTGTCACTGAGGCTGGCTGGAGTGCAACGGTGCGATCTCAGCTCACTGCAACCTCTGCCTCCCAGGTTCAAGTGATTCTCCTGCCTCAGCCTCCCGAGTAGCTAGGATTATGGGCATGCGCCACCACGCCCGGCTGATTTTTGTATTTTTAGTAGAGATGGGGTTTCACCATGTTGGCCAGGATGGTCTTGAACTTCTGACCTCAGGTGATCAACCCGCCTCGGCCTGCCAAAATGCTGGGATTATGGGCAAGAGCCGCCGCACCGGACAAAAGTGAGACTTTTTATTAACGGTCTTGCAAGATTGGATGTGTGATGGGCAGGCACACCCAGTGCAGTTTCAACAAGCAATTTATCCCCTAGAGCACAGGTCCCTCCCCCGGTTCCTCATAGGCTGAGTAATATGGGGTTGCAGTCTTCCTGGACATCACCTAAGTTTCATTATCCCCTTATTAGTTTATATCTTGTCCCCTTCCCTACTTGAAATTTCGATTTCCCAGTGGCGAAGCTTTCTTTCCTTTTATGGATTAGCCACCCCCGCCACTTTTCTCCCTCCCCTCTGACTTCTGTGAGTTTTATTACTCTTCCCAGATGTCTGTACCGTGCGGCTTGTCACATCCGAAAGGGAGCTGCCCAGACTTGCCCGCCTGTTTTTTGAAAATGGACCACTTAAAAAGTACTTCTTACAGGGTTCTCCACCGTTCTACTAAGCATACACTAGTTGAGGCCAGGAGGTCCTCAGCCACACAGCCTCTGGCCTCCTATCCTTGTGTTCCTTGGCCTCCATCCCACTGGCCTCCAAGGGACAGGTGCCTCTCCCTGCTCTGGGACAAAGCCCTCCTACATCCACAGGGTCCATCTCTGTCCTCCCTGGTGGCTCCTGACCATATTGACATGTTCAAATTCTACCCCCGTCAGAAAACTGCACCCCTTGAACCCTGATGCTCCCCTGGCCCCCAAGATTACCAGCTTCAGGGAACCTCCCAGTTCCTACCCACCTTATGACCTCCAAACAACCCAGTCCTGAGGGCACTTTCCTCTCTGCCTCTGCAGCCCCACACGGGCCTGGAAATGGCTCCCTTTGGTGGCCAGAGCCCCTATTCCTCCCGGATTCTCCCCCACTCCCAGGGTCCAGCTCCCTTCCTCCTGCCCTCGCCTTGGTTGCAGTATTCATGGTTATATTTGTGGCTTTTTTCTTTTTCTTTTTTGAGATGGAGTCCCACTCTGTGGCCCAGGATGGAGTGCAGTGGTGCGATCTCGGCTCACTGCACCCTTCACCTCCCAGGTTCAAGCGATTCTCCCACTTCGGCCTCCCGAGTAGCTGGGATTACAGGCACCCGACATCATGCCTAATTTTTGTATTTTTGTAGAAATGGGATTTCACCATGTTGGCCAGGCTGGTCTCAAACTCCTGGCCTCAGGTGATCCACCTGCCTCCCCCACCCAAGCACCCAAGGTGCTGGGATTACAGACATGAACCACCAGGCCCGGCTACATTTGTAGCTTTTTTTTTTTTTTTTGTCTTCCTGGAGGATACATTTTTCCCTCTACAGTGTCAGCCACCCAGATCCACACGTTTGCTTAAGTTATTTCCTCAGCCAGGGATGCCCTCCCTTCTTTCCCTGGGACTGATATGTCCTGCCAGCTCCTTGGGGAACTTTTTCCCCGTCTATCCTCTAATTCACAGCCACCCCTGGTTACATGCTCTCTTTCTGTGCCTCTTTCACGTCTCATGAACCTGTCCATCTTGATGCTTACAACACACTCGGTCCAATCATCATTGTCATTCTGTCACCACTAGACCCGGACGGCCTTGAGGGTAGGTACCAAGGACTCCCATGGCCAGTGCCCACCGGTGCTGAAATGAATGGGAATGATGCTGTCCCAAGACCTAAAGAGAACCCTCCCAGTCCTTTCTCCTTAATTTTTTTTTGTGTGTATGTGTGTGGTGTTTTTTAAATTTTTTCCTCACTTTCTTTTAAGGAAGGAGACCACTACTATTCCTGCTGCCCTCCTCCCCCTACCTTGCCTAGTTCACAGGACAGGAGGAAAGAAAGAAACAAAAGTAAGATAAATAGCCAGACAACCTTGGCACCACCACCAGCCCTAGGAGTTAAACAAAGTAGTACTAATAACATCAGCCCCTGACCTAAACTACTTGTGTTATCTGTAAATTCCAGACACTGTATGAAAAAAGCATTGTAAAACTTTTTGTTCTGTTAGCTGATTCATGTAGGCCCCAGTCACGTTTTCCACGCTTGCTCTATTTATCACGACCCTTTCACATAGACCCCTTAAAGTTGTAAGCCTTTAAAAAGGCCAAGTATTTCTTTTTGGGGGAGCTCCGCTCTTAAGACATGAGTCTGCGGACACTCCCGGAGGAATAAAAAACCTCTTCCTTCTTTAATCCGGTGTCTGAGGAGCTTTGTCTGTGGATCCTCCTGCTACACTTTCTTTTCTTTTTTCTTTCTCCTTCCCTTCCCTTCCTTCCTTTCCTTCCTTCCTTCCCTCTCTTCCTTCTTTCTTTCTTTTTTTTTTTTTTTTTTGTCACAGGATGTCGCTGTGTTGCTCAGGCTGGAGCGTTGTGGGGCTTTTTGAAATGACAACATATTCATATACTACAAAATTTAAAAGATATTGGCGGGGTGGTGTGGGGGGAACTCCACTGCCGCTGCCCCGCCCCAGGACCTGGATTCCCCTAGGCACAGTGTTACTCTTTCCTTGTGGAGTTTTCCCTGATCACTGAAGCTATGCCCTTGTCCCTTCGGCACCCGCGCTTCTGGGCACCGAACTCCTCTCGCTGGAAGTGATCCGCTTGCACTGACTGCGGGCGCTTGGGCTTCGCGCTTTCCCGCAGTGGCCGGGCCTCGGCGCCGGGACAACCAGCCGACCCCCGCGGCCAGGCGCCCTGCTCCCCCTGGCGGCCGCGCCCCGCACTGCAGTGGCCGCGTAGGGGCCCGGCCGGGGGAGGGGTCGCGCGGCGGCGGCGTCAGCGGCGGCGCCCGGGTGGTGGGAGCCGAAGCGCCGAGCAAGATGGCGGCGCGAGTGCTGCGCGCTCGCGGAGCGGCCTGGGCCGGTGGCCTCCTACGGCGGGCGGCCCCCTGCAGCCTCCTGCCCAGGCTCCGGTGAGCAGCGCCGCCCTTTCCGGGAGCTGTCTGGGAGGGGCCGCCGGGAGGCGGAGGGCGCGGGGTTTCCCGGCGCGGGTCTCCGCCCCGGCCCTGTCCCCACCGCGGGTGGCCGCCCGGTCTCGGGGCAGTGGGGCCAGACCTAGGTCCGGGTCGGGGCGCCCTCGGGCTCAAGGTCACGGCGGGGACGGGCCGCGCTGCGGCTCCGCCCTCGCCGGAGAAGGCGCCCGAGGCCCGGCGCGGAGGCCACATCCTCCCCGCGGCGCTGGCCTGGCCTGCAGGGCCCTGACCGGCACAACCCGGGGCCGGGGACAGGGACAGCGCGCGCCTGAGGCCGCAGGCCCCAGACGCCGCCTGCTGGGTCCCCGCCGGAGGCTGCTCCAAGCCTGGGTGGCCGCCTCTGCTGAGGACGTTGGTGACCCTGGCCTCTGAGGTGCTGTGAGTAGGATATAAAAGCTTAAAGCATGGTCCCGGGCCAGCCCTACGCGGAGGGTGGGGGAAGTCAACGCTTGGAGGAGGTCAAAGCACTCACGTCTTTGACTTGAAATTTAAAGCCGGCCGTGGATCTAAAAGTACTTAGAGTTACCAGCACTAAGTGTTCAGGCGTGGGGCTCTTGTGTGAACTTTTTTTTTTTTCCTCTAACTTCAGTGGATTGGACGTTTGGTTGTCCAGATTTCACCTTGACGTTTGCGTGTGCTATTTTCCACATTCAAACAGCAAAGCCTATCCTAACTTACCCAGAGTTACTTTCTCATATTCGTTGCTTTGGGTAGTTTAAATTACCAAAGGAACTGTGTGTTAAACTCGCCATGGGCCAGGGAGCTTTCAATAACGTGGTTTGTTTTTTTTTTGAGACGGAGTTTTGCTCTTGTTGCCGAGGCTGGAGTGCAATGGCACGGTCTTGTCTCTCTGCAACCTCCGCCGGGTTCAAGTGATTCTCCTGCCTCAGCCTCCCAAGTAGCTGGGATTACAGGCATGCACCACCACAGCCGGCTAATTTTTGTATATTTAGTAGAGACGGGGTTTCACCATGTTGGTCAGGCTAGTCTCGAACTTATGAGCTCAGGTGATCCACCTGTCACGGCCTCCCAAAGTGCTGGGATTGCAGTCGTGAGTCACCATGCCCAGCCTGATCTTTTTAAAAAGATGAGTCTGACTTGGGAGAGGGGGCAGAAATAAGGGTCGTGGCCAGCTGAATGGACGCTGGCACTGAGAGTTTGCTGAGAGTTGTTTGTTCTGCCAAATATGAGTGCCAGGCACTGTTGACTGTTGAGAGACGTCAGTGAATAAGGCATGCAAGACCATCTGGGAGCTTACCAGTAATTCAGGAGCGCTGGGGAAGAAGAATTCAGAGCAGTTTAGGACCTGGTAAAGTTTGTGAAGGCTGTGTGCTATTCAAGTGGAAAAGCAAACAGACAGTTGGCTATATGACTCCTCAAAGGAGGTGTCTGGGCTACAGGTAACATTTGGGAGTTGTCAGTATAGGAATGCTAAATGTTAATAGACACGTGGATTTCATTATACTGTTTCATATTTGGTTTACATTTTTCACATTAAAGGCTGGGCGCGGTGACTCACACTTGTAATCTCAGCACTTTGGGAGGTTGAGACAGGAGGATTGCTTGAGCCCAGGAGTTTGAGACCAGCCTGGGCAACATAGTGGAACTCTGTCCCTAATAATAAGTACATAAATAAAAATTTGTGTAATGAAACTTTTTTTAAACCATAGGAAGCCAGGTGCAGTGGCTCAGGCTGTAATCCTAGCACTTTGAGAGGCCAAACTGGACTGATTGCTTGAGCTCAGGAGTTCGACACCATCCCTGGCAACATGACAAAACACATCTCTACAAAAAATACAAAAATTAGCCTGGCATGGTGGCACGCGCCTGTAGTCCCGGCTACTTGGGAGGCTGAGGCGGGAGTATAGCTTGAACCTAGGAGGTGGAGGTTGCAGTGAGCTGATCATGCCACTGCATTCCAGCCTAGGTGACAGAGCCAGACCGTCTCCAAAATAAAACAAAAAACCATCAGAATGTGTGAGATTGCTTGAGGCGTGAGTGTGGCGAGTGAAGGGCTGCAAAGCAAGCCCTGGGACGTGCAACATATACAGGTTGAATGTAGGAGGGGGAACTGGCTAGGTCATTGTTATATGACAGTGGCCCGGAGGAGGGAGGGAGTGCCATCTGCTGCCAAAGGGTTAGGTAAAATGATGGAAGAAAACAGAATTTGCCAACAGGGATGTTGTGGGTGACCTTGCCGAATCAGTGTCAGCAAGCAAGAGGGGCAGCCTCCCGGGAGCCTTATCCCTGCCTGTACATTAGCCAGCATATTTCACTTAGCGCTGCTTAGCAGCAAACTTGGAATCCCCAGCTGCTTCCTGGACGTTGAATGTCTCACAGGTGCTCAAAACACTGCTGTACCCAGGATTTAACAACTCTTCCTTCCACGAAGCCTGCTTCTCTTGGATACTTTTTCTTCAGTCATGAAACATTTTCCATGTGGTGGCCCAGGCCGGAAACCAGACTGTCTTCCCCAAGCCCATCTGTCTTTTTTCCTGCCATCTATCATTTACCAAATCTGTCAGTTCTGCCTCTAGTATGTCTTGAATCCACTCTCTCCATCGCCACTGCCCTAGCTCAACCTTCAGCAATACTTGTCTGGATTCCTACGAAGAATGTGGGCTCGGACCTGTTAGTGAAGGGGACGACTAAAGGATTTTTTTTTTTTCCTTAGATGTAGAGTCTTGCCCTTTGCCAAGGCTGGAGTTTAATGGCATGATCATGGCTCACTGCTGCCTTGACCTTCCGGGCTTAAGGGTTCTTCCCACTGCAGCCTCCCCAGTAGCAGGGACTACAGGCCCACACCACCATGCCCAGCTGCTATTTATTTATTTATTTATTTGAGACAGTGTCAGTCTGTTGCCCAGGCTGGAGTGCAGTGGTGTGATCTCAGCTCACTGCAGCCTCCACCTCCTAGGTTCAAGCAATTCTCCTGCCTCAGCCACCCGAGTAGCTGGGACTTACAGGTGTGCACCACCATGCCTGGATAATTTTTGCATTTTTAGTAGAGATGGGGTTTCTCCGTGTTGCCCAGGCTGGTCTCAAACTCCTGACCTCAAGTGATCCTCTCACCTCGGCCTCCCAAAGTACTGGCATTAGAGGGATGAATCACCACACCTGGCTGCTAAGTTTTTTGTAGGAAGGAGGTCTTGCTCTGTTCTCCAGGCTAGTCTCGAACTCCTGGCCTCAAGCAGTCCTCCCACACTCCGCCTCCCAAAGTGCTGGGATTATAGGTGTGAGCCATTGTGCCCAACCACACGTCTAAAGAATTCTATCATTGTCTTCATTTTCTTAATAGAAAGAGCTCTATAACACAAACCTTGACTGGATCCTAATCCCTCCCTGTTTGCCCCCATTCCGCTACCCAAAAGAACAATGAAAGACATTTTGGGGAGAACTGGGGACATTTTAATAGGGAGTGGATATTAGATATGATGGAATAATTGTTTTTCTCAGATGTGATGATAGCATTGTAGTTCTGTCATTGTGTTTTGGAGATGCATGCTAAAGGATTTACGGGAGAAGTATCATTATGTCCAAACTCTACCTTTTTTTTTTTTTTTTTTCCTGAGACAGAGTCTCACTCTGTCATCCAGGCTGGGCGATCTCGGCTCACTGCAACCTCTGCCCTCGGGTTCAAGCGATTCTCCTGTCTCAGCCTCCTGAGTAGCTGGGACTATAGGTGTGCACCACCACAACCAGCTAATTTTTTTGTATTTTTAATAGAGATGGGGTTTCACCGTGTTGGCCAGGATGGTCTTGATCTCCTGACCTCGTGATCTGCCCGCCTTGGCCTCCCAAAGTGCTGGGATTACAGGCGTGAGCCACTGCGACCGGCCTAAAACTCTACTTTCAGATGGTTCAGTAGAAATTAAAACCAAATATAGGGCTGGGTGCGGTGGTTCACACCTGTAATCGCAGCACTGTGGGAGGCCAAGACTGACGGATCACATGAGGCCAGAAGCTCAAGACCAGCGTGGACAACATGGTGAAACCCTGTCTCTTCTACAACTACAAAATTTAGCTGGGCGTGGTGGTGCAGGGCTGTAGTCTCACCTCTACAGGTGGCTGAAGCAAGAGAATTGCTTGAGCCCACGAGATGGAGGCTGAAGTGAGCCAAGATCACGCCACTGCACTCCAGTTGATGCGAGAAAACAATGCCCTGTCTGAAAAAAAAAAAGAAATTAAAAAGCAAATATATATATAGAGAGAGAGAGAAAAAAAACTTTTAATGGTAAAATGTTCATTTTTTAAATCTAGATGCAGGGCAGAAGAGTCTTCATTGTCATGGTTAAACCCTGGGTTTGAAGTTTCTGGAAATGAAAGGTGTGGGAACAGGTCTCGGGAGCAGCAGTGTGGAAGACAGGGGTACTAGGGCTGGAGGGAGTGTGGTGGTGGGGAGGGGAGTCAGGGAGCTGCTGCTTTAAGGCAGGACTCTTCTTGGCATGGGTCTGTCAACCTCCTCTCTCCCCCAGGCCTGTGCTTCCAAATGCTGGTGCTATTTGCACACTTGTGGCTTTGGTGGTCACTGGTTCTGCTTAGAATCTCCTTTCTTCCGTGGGTATCCACCTGACCATCTGTTCCTCTTCTTTCCAGTCTTCCACTCAACACATACTTCGTTAGTACTGGTCGCCAGGCTGCCCTTACCCCTGCCACAACAGCTACCTACTACCTTGTGTCACCATTGAAGAGCTTGTCTCTGTTTGGGTTGTGATCGTGTTTGTCTGCCCTCACCAGCATACTGAGCTCCCTTGAAGTCAGGGCCAGGTTCATCTGTACATCCTCAGTAGCTGCCAGGTGTAGTGCACAGTCTGTAAATAACAATGATCGTATGAATGAAGCGCAGCGTGCTCCTGCCGCCTCATCCTGTGGTCTCAGCATTAAGTCCTTTCCCTTCTTCAGTTTCCTCTTCCCTGCCTGATCGGCATCCACGAGCTTCT